AATCCTTGCATGACTGAAAATTCAGTCAGTTAAAAAAAAATTTTATTTTTTTTTTATTTTACAAAGATCGGGAACTGCAGTCGCTTCAATTCTGTCTCTCGTTTTTCATCAACATCGTCAAGCGCGCATTATATTACTTGTGAATAGATACGCATGGTCGGCTAAGCAGGTTAAGCGACGTAACTCCGATGGTGCAAGTAAGACTTGGTCGAACACTTAGACCAACTAGCAACGCAAGCAAATGTGATACAAAGTGTCCATAATGTCATGTTTTGCAGCAGACTTTACATTTCTCAAGGCATTCATTTTTGCAGTGATTACACCTAACGCGACAGAAATTTTTTTGTTACAAGTAAAGGCTTACCGAATTAATTGATTTTTAGTCACCACCGTTTATCTCCTCCTAGGCATACAATAATACTTGTAACAAGAGGATAAAATATTGGTTATATGTTAGAAATTTGCGTCCATCAAGCGTACAAACATAATTTTTATTTTATTACATTATGAGCATGTCAACCTCCGGTTTACAAAAGAATATAGTTATTTTTTCAGGATTATGAAATTGGCTTGCAAACTCCATATGTCCTCCAGAAACATGGCGGCCCAAATAAGTTCAAATGACTACTGCACCTACTCGAGTACGACCAGACTTTGTACGTTTGTATCCATCAATGTCAAATGTCCCAAGAGATTCTGATAAATTCTCACAGTTGCTCGCGCTTCTCCACTTTTGCATTATTGTATCTCATTGAATAAAATATCATCACTGGTTATTGAGTGTGGGTGCCCTCGTTATATTTTTACCAAGAGTTACTTTAGAATTGGTTTATCCTTGGTGATATCCGCTCCTGCTACAATTTTCCCTTGTTGTTTCAATGCCATAATTATAGGATTCATTCATTCACTATCTGTATTATGAAGTGTAATTATCATTAGCGACTTTTTCATGCAAAATAATATATAAGATTTTTCGTTGTTTTTTTTTTTTTCAACGATTGGCCAAGTCAATATCAACGCTGTTCCAAGATGATTCCTAAATCTATTAATTTGTGAAGGACATCCGATTACGAGTATGAAAAACCATAAATTTCTTGAGTCTGATTGTCAGTTCGTTATGGTGCATTTAAGAGAAACAACGACTTTATCTTTTCTGTAACTTCACACACACTCCTTTGATCTGATACATTAATTCCGGAGTCAGATATACTGGTGAATTATTGCAAAATACGATATGTATCAATGTGAGAATTTGTTTTCGCTATTTATATGTATCTCAATACATGTTTTAAACAATATTCTCACACTACCTCCGTCGCATTTAGTATAAATCATTCGCCCACTAACTCTGCCAGTTTAAAATGTTCTCAGATTAAACCTGCTGTAGAGAAAATAATATCAGCACAATATCAGTGTAGTAGCCATCAATAATTATGTTCCTGCAATAATATTGTTATGATCAATAACATAGGGCGGTCTGAGGCACATAGTAAACCTAAAGTAAGGTCACTTACTAGTGCCCACGGGGTGAAATGGAGGCTCACTATGGGTTGTACACTTGCTCGAATCATACACTCACATGTGATTCGAGAGTAAATTCATTGGCTACTGAAGGAGCTGACCCATCTCAGCTACCAAAAATCTAAAACGCCCATTGTAAGACTAATGGGTGCGACGCACCCTTCGAGGACCTCTTGGACATGGGCGAGATCGCAGAATGCTTTCTCTTCCTTCAAGCCTATTTAGCCAAAAAGATAGGAGACAGTGGCGCAGAAAAGAAAAAAAAACAAACAAACAAAAAAAAAAAAAAAAAAACGCGAGGTCATCTTTGACCGAACCTCAAATTAACCGTGCATATCAAGAGACTAAGTACGCACCTGCTCGAGTCAGCATTCATTGTCATTATTAAAAACTGAGATTTCAGTCTGGTGTGCTCATATCAGGTTTTTACATCAACTCATTTCGTATAAGAAGCAAATGCATTTAATTTTTTGCATTAACTTTTCCAATAACATGGCACGTAATAAACATCACAACCTGCTTATTACAACAGTCCTATTTCGTTCATCTTAATCGAGTCCATGTATGTAGACGTCAGCCATGATACCTATGTCGACTATAAAATGCTTGACAGCACTTTAGTATGAAAAAAGGAAATGCTTTAATACACTTACTAATTTTTGCAATGACATATCACTTTCTGTTTTAGTGTCATTTATTCGAAAGATTCCGAGTGGGTGGTATTTTGTTAGCTTTTTAAATGACAGACATTAATTCTTGACTGTTAAAACTTAATAAAATGGTAGTTATAATAAACCCCCATTATAAGGCGAGAAAAAAAAAACATTATTTTTATATGCTGTATGATATACCTCATAAAGAATCTCTTTACAAATTTAGTTGCTACAAGAGCGTGGTAGGATACGTAAACAGTATGACAAATCGAACCATAACAAATGATGTTTTCTAAGACTTGTATCACATGCTGTACAATAAAAAGACAGACGTCCTAATGACTTGGATGAATCTAGAGGAACACAATAATCCAGACCTCTTGCGGCAAATCCACCTTGACAGGAGAGATGGAAACGTTTACAAATCTGAGATCAAGCCACCAGTTCTAATGTGTAGACAAAAATGCCATCATTATGAGGCAAGTAATCCAACTTGGAATCATCCGTCAGTGTTTTGCCTGAACATACGGAGATTTACTTTCTAAGATTTTCGTCGGACTCTACATATCATCTAGTAATTCTATTTTCTGTTTCACAATATGGATTACCCATCATTCCATCATTTGGTACCCTTCGTTGTCATCTCGAAATGATGTCTGTAAGATTGGATTTTCTGAAAGACATTTTTCTTAACATTGTTACAAAATGTTTGATGTCAGTACTCATTTCCAACACTTTGCATACTCCTGCCGAGTCTTCTCTGTCCCATAAGACAGATGTTCTTTGTTCTTTAATCTTTCAGTTTTGATTTCTGCTTTAGTTCAAAGAAATGCATTTAACAAACTTTATTAGTGTTTTGTGGTACGAAAGAAACTTACTGATTTCGAGATGTAAGTGTCATTGGTTAATGTCACTGAGAGTGAAAAGATAAAAATAGTTTCCACTCCTTAACATTAGTTCTACAGCATATGCCTGGATGAAAGCTTGTGGATGCCATGATACTGGATTGAAGAACAAACGTTTCCATTTTGGAATATAAAAATAAACATCAAAAGGTCAAGCTCACAGAGACTCGAACAAACATAAACTGGTTTCCACAAAATGATGTGGTGTTCAGAAGGTTAAAGCTAAATGACTTTATGTTCTCGAACAGGATATTTCTAAAAGTTTGGATTTCTAAAGTCTTGATAATATGCACTTAATAAAATGAATTTACATGCAAAGTCTCTTGAATAAAGCAGTCTCAGATACCAATTTCATGCAAATTACGGTAAACTACTCTGTTTACATCATCGTTACGCTCGGACACTTTTAAAAACAATATTAGCAACGATTTCATTGCTGACGTACTCTTTCGTTCGTGATTAAATGAATGTAGCGGTCAAGTGTAGAAAATTTGTCTACATAGGTCGATATCTTCGTCAATCTAGGTCGTTTCAATACATTAAACAAATGCATGTTTACAGTAGGCACAATGGCTACACAAAGCTTAATTGACGTATTTGACCAATAAAGGGACATTACCAAACTTTAACAGATGTAGTTGACTAATAAAATGGAACTACCTAAAGCTTAATCGATGTAATTCACATCAGATACCAATGATCTGATGCTAATGAACATTAACCCTGGATAACGGCAGGCGACCTTCTCCTTGTTCATCATATGTTAGGTCCTGGTTAAAGGCGGGATGCCGTGATATATAGTCCAACTCATCTCTGGCACGAGTTTATACAATAATACAAAAAAGTTCAATCGAGAAAAAGACAGTATATAGTCTGTTTTGCTACCTGAATTTGTTTATAAAAGTTAATAAAAGGAGGGGTTTAGCTCTGAGCTTGAAAACCAAAATATACTTCATGGAACTATAAAAATGCATCACGGATATTGTATACTGATCATTAGGAACCAACCATTTAGGTGTTTTTGGAGGGGGGGAGGGGTCTACTATTTTGCTTTGAACCAGATATACTGTTTTGTTTATCCCAGATTATTTTCATCAGCGAAGAGAATGGGTGTAATTAGTTCATTTTTGTACAAATCGAAGCAAGAACATTGTTTTGAAACTATTTATGAACCGATTTCTTATTTTAAGAAAATCCCAGGCTCCCACTTCCTCTCAACCAGAAAATGAATTGGTGGGCACTTTATCTGATCATAATTCCAGGGACCAAATAATCACTCGGGCTTAAATGGCTCAGTAGATTAGATTGGTGAAAGGCTTTCTAGCAAAACTACAAACCAATAATCTAAAACAAGTATTTGTAAAAACCTTTCGGAAGCGTTGCTAACAACTTAGAGGCACACAATACATTACCTAGGAGATTTTAAACCATGACAAACTGACAAGATTCCAATCCCATCGGACACAACAGTGGCCTACAACATTAGCGGCTTCTTGTGGTTTGTTGGCTGCTGGAATTATAATCCATCTTTATTTCCTCCATTAGTACATGTATAAATGGTACCGATACGAAAATGAAAAGAAGATGATGTACAAGTGCATATAAAAATCACAAACTCGTACAGACATATGTTTTCCATACAACTGATTGGTATGATTGCCCCTACGATACAGGCTTCAACAGCTAAGGAATGGTTATAGCATTTTGACGACTGCTACTGCCTCCTGTCGCAAGGAGAAAGGCGATATGCTTATCACTTACCATGAACGTGGCTTTACTAAGTGTGTGTGTGTGTGTGTGTGTGTGTGTGTGTGTGTGTGTGTGTGTGTGATTTAGATTTTCAACTTAGTCATATTGCTATGATGCCTGCAGTGTGGCAGTTTATAGTGACACCAGGCCTATCAGTCCTAAGTCTTTGACATGACTCGGTCGGGGATCGAACTCACGACCTCCCGCATTCGAAGCGGACGCTCTGACCACTAAGCCACAGGAGTTTGTTGTTTGTTTGTTGTTGGGCATAACGCCATTTTTCAGCACACGATAGGCTATTCATGGCGGCCAGTATTAATGGTGGAGGAAGAAACCGGAAAATCACCGGAAAGAACCACCGACCCACGAGAAGCTACTGGCAAGCTTTCTCACATATCCACATTCGCCGAATCCTAGACTCGAACCCACGCAGACAGAGGTGAGATGGCAGTGATCTGTAACGGACAGCGCTTTAGACCACTCGGCCACTCGGGGTGGTTTTCTACTAATTGTATTGCAATGAACCAAATAACTCAATCAATAAAGAAGGCATTAAGCAAACAGTTTAAGTCGAGATTTTTCATTCGATGTGTGCAATGCTAGCATTATCCAAATCGTGCTGATTGTATCTGCAGATAAATGAGGCCATTTGTATATTCTCCGACTCAACATATATACATGTGGTACACAATACAATTGTCAAAGTTGAAAAGTAGGTTAAATATTGCATAAAAAGTATACACAGTCATATAGCGATATAATTAGTGCTGTGAAGTCAAGTTTTTTATGAGGTAATCCAGCCGGATAATTTTGAGTTAATTCGTTCATTTATCATCTTTTCGTTATTTAACCATTTTAAAAAGGGATTTAAAACACATCATCTGAGCTTCATGCAGAAAATTTTGCATTGGACATCATACAATTTCTGTAGACATCGGGGTTACTCCGTCCAGGTGTGTAGGTGAATTCCCTAAACGGTAAGTGCTGAACAGTTTCTTTGTTAGATATAATTTGAAGATACGCACTAATTAGAATGTCACAATTAGTGAAAATATGCGACCACCTTATGGACAATGTCCGTACTTTTAGAGGCTACTCAAACTCTGACCTCAATTAACACTGACTTGAGAAGAAATAAAGATTGATAAATCGTGAATGTACGAAACAAAGACGTAACAAGTACTCTTGGTTTTCACCAGATGGCGTAGTGTCCAATGGAACTTCTGACTGGCTTTCTATTTTTAGAAGGCTTTTTCGTAATCAGATAGTACACAAACTATTTGGAGAAGTAGTTCGTTGGTCTGTTCATCTACGAAATGTTTCCAAAGCGCAATAACATGATAATTATAAGTATTCATGAATATGTTGGACGCATTAATTGATGTTTTCGATAGTGCAGGATATCTCATCTCGTGAGATTTTTCAAAACGATGCAAATCAAATTTTTACCATGTGTGTAATAAATTTGTAACTATGCTGAAAGAGGTAAAGTCTCGCATAATGGATTTGTTGGCGTTAACTCTTTGCGCGTTTTTTCCCCTAATTATTGATGTTTATGAAAAATAGTAATTAAACATTTAGAATAGTAAAGTTAATGAAATCTTTTTTTTTTTTTTACATCGGTTTGCGTTTTGTAAACTAAATGCTGCGTTTATTTCGTCAATGTCCAACGACCGGATGAGATAATTCTTTATTTTATACTAGTTGGTAGATACTCCTAAATTAAAGCAAAAGTGTATTTTAAAAATCAAATATCATAAGCTTGATTTTTCAGCACATAATAGGCTATACATGACGGCCAGTATATATGGTGTTATGTTACGCATGGAGGACCCCTGAACGAACTACTTTCTTGAGGGAAACTAATGGCAGGTTATCTCACATATCCACGTTGGCCGAGAAAAGACTCGAACCCACGCAGACTGAGAAGGCAATGGAGTGATCTATTTAACTGTTTTCTGATTCTGTCTACGGTTCGATAATCAGACAGCAATACCAGCGTATGATACAGTAGTTTGGAAGCGAGGGATACCAGTGGATAGGAACATATATATTAAGATAAATTAATGTTCTTATAATTCAATGTAATCAGATGAAACGACACAGTAACTGTAAAAAATTGTTCTTGAGATATCAGAATTAGATAATCCAAATCTTATTGCTACACCCCGTATTGCGCACCTCTGTGGACAAACTTTATTATGTGTGTACAAATAAAATTTGTTATTGGCTATTGTAAAAGCCTTCGTTTTTAATTAAGCTTTACAAGATGTCACAGTGCCTTTTATCGTGTTTGAAAAATATAATGTAGTTATTCATGAGGAATATAATCGAGAAAATATTATTTTCAAGGATGATTCTTATATCTAATAGCAAGAAATTATCTTAAAATTTGTATGGAACTATGATATTCGTTTTAATTCTCATATTACAGATTGATTGAACAGATTATTTTGAAATGTCTTACATAATTTTGTTATTAGCAATGATAGACACATTCTGAAGTTGTATATATGTAATCTATAAAGGCAACGGGAAAGGCAAAGGCAAACGCCATAGACTACTCACCCCCTCAGAACCATCAAACATCACAGGTGTTTTACGCACGCATATAGATTACTAGCGGAAACACATATCACAACTAGAGTAGTTCTAATACTTGCAAACAAATTCAATATAAATCCCATTTATGCATACATATAAAGTGCATTTAGGATAAATAGCTGATGTCAAGTTCTTTTCATTATATCCAGACATTTAATAAGAGCGAATAACTGATAATACCAGAAGATATAAACATCGACGGATTAGTATGTACATAACTGCTTGCGGTGAGAGAAGAGATGAAAAGAAGTAATATGCAAAGAAACAAATAACTAACTCATTGCATAGTATTTATTTCAGGAGTGATTCAGAATTTTCAATTATCAGTAGGACCCACCACAACTGTACTTTAAATACGGAAAGTGTGCAAATAAATATGACTTCCAATGGGCCATTATGGCAGATTTGTTTTGTTTGACACGTGCGTTATACGCAGACCTAAATGTGGATGCAAAACGTAACGATCATTGTATCATATTAATCTTCATGATTACAGTGCTCAATACTACCTCAATGCCGTGATCGTAAAATGGAATATCAACTTGCCTAACTGAGCTCATATAAATACATTTTCCTCCCAAAAAATTGAACATGAACATTTAAATGAGTTAATAAACTACAGTTTTTCACATATTACATGCAATGTGTGATATTTTACTATACCACACCCACCTACCTTCTTGAGTCTATTAGCATTACCAATTTCATTCACAGGTGTTGAGTCTATTAGTATTACTAATAGCCCTTACATGTAATATTCACAGGTGTTTTATAGTTATATTACTTTGATTTAAATTGAGGTTTCTCTACTGTTTACTTCTAGCTTGTTATTGACCGTAACGCGGTGAAACAAAGAACTCCAGCGACACCCGCCCGGTCTAGCTTACATTTCATTGGCATGATATCGCCAATATGTTTAAAATGTTTAAACCATCAACAACAACAAAAAAAAACACAGGTTATAACGAACAATTATTTAACCTGAGTTGATTGATTTTGCCTGTTTGAGTCAGATATCAACCTGAAACAAAGGTCAGATTTTCCTTCTTTTTTTTATCTTTTGATTATTTTTTCCATTACTTTTGCAGGCAAATCTATCGCAAATTCCTGTGAAAAGATTATAGGTGTCCACCACCAATTTGGCAGAGAAGTATTGCCTCCAGAATTTATCATTATTTGTGAAGGGTTGAGAAACAAAACAAACCAGAGTCCGTATGAATTCAATAACATACTGCGTGAATCACAATATAACATTTAGGCATGCCTTCAAGAAGATACCCTGTGAATACCAATATAAGTTAGGTTTGAATTCAAGAACGTTACGCGTGAATAGCTATATAACATTAATAATGAATCACAAGATAATAGGAAAAACCTCGTTATTGCAAAAAAAAAAATAAATAAAATAAATAAAATCGGCGCCACTTCAAAAGGTTGCGTACACAATCCTACCCATAAATATTCAATATATTTAGGTAATCGGAAGTGGGGGGGACAAATGTTTTAAACAATTCGACATGTAGGAGACGATTGATGTCGTTATTAGGCTTTTATTGTCTAGCATCAAAAGCCAAAAGGAGATATGCTTTCTGAAGTCACGGGATCTACTTACTGTTTCTCCCATTTACTATTTTTAGCTTAATTCGATTTCGTGTCATACTTCCATTTAAAAAATATATTCACCAAATACAAATCAATGTATTGATGTATAGAGACTTGACCCACTGGTCTATGACAGGGTTAGCATGAACAAATTTCCTGTTATTATTGACAGGTAGGCCACAGGGCGGATCTGTGAAAGCTTGTAATACAGCCTCAACATGGACGCGTTCGCTTTTTGGTCTGTATTATCTACCCAATAAAAAGCGATCACACCGATTTGTACCACTTTTCCTTGAAGATTTAAATATACCATTCAAGTGTTTAGAAAACGCTGCGGGAGAGAGCATTAATAATTTATGTGCGTTTCAGTAAGTTAAATTGCTGTTATTCTTTGATTTCTAATCCCGATTACTCCAAAACAAAACCATTGCAAGAGAATAACAAGTTCTTCGGGAGTTTATATTCATAGTTTCTAATGTTACTACCCGGGTATGTTATCTTCAGATTGTAAATTAAGCCATGTTTTGGGGGAAAAAATACAACAATCCCCCGGAGCAAATTCTCATTGCCCATAACATGCCAAAGTAAATGGAATTTCAGTAGAGTTAAAAGTACTGGCGAAGTAATTAACTGTTCAAATTTGCCGTGCAAAGAGGGCTCAATGCAATATGACTAAATCAAAGTTATCTAACAAAATAAACGAACTTTGTGGCATGACCTTCGTATAATTATGGATACGTTAAGATGCAGTTGTGTACAGGTGTTAAATAGCTCTACACTAAATGAGTCTCCTCCAATTGCCAAACAGCCTCATTTATACAAAGAAACAGAATGCAAGAGACAGAAGGTCTGTTGATACAGACGTCAATTTGTATTTCTGGGATAAAGTGTGAAGGATTCATACACTGGCAGTACAATTGTTTACTCTTCAGTTTTGGAAAACAGCTTTAGTATGCTTTTGTATCGGGTGACGAGGAGCGCAGAAGTCCAATCATAGTTAACTTATTTGCAACGAAGAGTATAACAGTTGCTGGACTTTA